CCACCACCCACACACATACTCCCCTTCCCAGCCCTGACATACTCTGCAGGTATACAGGCTTCCAGGACTCTCATGCTACCAAGAATTGTTCAGATACAGAAGGCCAAACTTGTTATGAAATTACAACAGAGTTTTATTTCAGATTAATTACACAGTGGAGCAATTATAAAAGAGAAGAGAAAGTAGATATAGCTGATTGCCGTGAAGACAAGCAAGGGCCCAAAGCAGGAACTCTTGGCTTCAAAAATTAGAAGTGTTTTTCCTTTTTGTGGTTTGTGAGCAATGGCTTGTCTCTTGGAGGGCCTTTGGTTAAAAATAATGTGGTCAGGGTCTCAGTCAACTATTCATCAGACATGACCACATGCTCATGACAGGCCAGTCTGTAGGAGACCTGCAAGTGAGTTTTACAGTAGCAACCAGGAAGGGTTTGAATGCCTCTTCCACCAGAGAAGCATTTCTTTCCGTCTCAGTACAGATTTTAATGGTCTGTCCCTAAAAAAGTATGTGGAGCGGGCCTGGTTGGTCAAGGAAAAAGCATTCATGCGTGTCGTCGTCTTAATAGCTGCAAGAGGAAGGCCCTTCTCACTGCCATGATTTTTCCCTAGAAACAGAAAGCTAGGATTTTTTATATATATGATATTTGTTGTTTTTATATTTAGACTAGGAATTGTAAATTGGGATAAGACTGAGTTTTTGCTGAAGGGAACGATATTGTGGGTTTCTGAGACTGTGCATCTTCCTGAGAGTCGAAAGCCTCATCTTTCTCCAGCAGAAGGGCCCCTGGTTTCAAACGCTGACCATGTAGAAGACAATGACCCAGAACGTAACTCACAACACAATCAGGGCCTCTCGTGTTCTCACAATTCTGGCAGCCTTTTCATTACCTGTGAAGGAAATCATTACCTCAAACGGTGAGCCACTGAACAATTCTATTGGCTTCTAAACAGGCTAAAAGCACACTGAAATGCCATCCACTCTGAAATAGCACGTGGAGTGAGGCTCACTGTTTTTTTCTAACTTGAAAGCAGAGTTTCCATAGAAGATGGATTAACTACACGATGTTGGTAGTGAGAGTGATAAAGGAGTTGGCGTACCATTACCTTTAGTGCTTTTGTGCACGCTTCAGTAAGGGGTGAGGCTGGCCGAGGGCCCCGAAGTGTTTCCTCTGTTACACACGGGGGTTGCTGTGTGTTGGAACTGAGTCTACAGCACCTCACAACGAGAAGGGACCTGTTTCCATCCGGAAGAGCTTTTTCTCTTGGATGACAACTGAGTTGACTTAACAGGAGTCAGACTCCTCCATCTGGTGGCCCAGTCGTAACACTTCCTATGCTTGCTCACAGCATATTCATTTTTAACCAAATTTTAAATTTCAGTTTCAGAAAGGATGCCATAACCATTGACTGTTTCTTCCTCAAGCTGTTATATAAAATAACTTGGTCCTATTTATGTGTTCATCTGTTCCAAAAGTCACTGATAACCCATATAAACAAACCCACTCTCATAGCTTATGAACCTGCTGCTTTGCTATTCCATGGAGGGTGGAAAAGCAGTTTTCAGTTTGTTTTCCTTAGTTATTTTAATACTGTTTCATGTTCATGTGTGTCCAACATTTTTCAAAATGTCGCTTTACCAGCCTGTGATTCAGTAGCTAGTTTGCAAGAAGATCAAAAGGACTTATTTAAGCTCAAGAGAAACATTTCATGTTCTCACAGTTTAACTAATCCATCCCTTTTTCACAGCAATCAGATAGTTTTCTTTGGAAAGCTTGTATCCTTAAGGATCAATACTGATATTTATCCAGCATGTGTAAAAATGGTTATTGTGATAGCATTTTCCTCTATCTTTAGATTACTTGAAAAATCTGCACATATAAATTTAGTAGGGCATTAAGACAATTTATCATGGAATTTTTTCCAGTTATTGAATTAAACATCCTTTTCACCCTGAATTCCAAATTACCGTTCTGTGCCACCTGGGCCTTTGCTGATCTCTTCAGATTGATAGCTCGGGCCGGGATTAGGGTACAAAACAATACATTAATCCTGTAGTTGAGCATAAGATTTTGGGGGTGGTTGTTAAATGCAGCCACATAATCTAAACAAGAGTTCCCTCAACATCCATCTGATTGAAATCAGAGTTGGGAGTACATGTTGTTAACAGAGTCATTAATTAGATGCTGTATGTATTAAAAACAGAGCAACCCAGCCCTTGCCATTGAGTGAAATTCATCCTACCGTGACCCTCTAGGACGCAGCAGGATTTTCAAGGCCAGAAGTGTTTATGGAAGCAGGCTGACATATCTTTCTCCGGCTGAGTGACTGTGATTCTGTCGGAGCCAACTCTCAAGGTCAAAAGATACTCCTATCGAATGGCCTGTCAAAGCAAGCCCGTTCCACATAGTTACTGTGTTTGTAGGAAAGTGAGACCTCAGATTCAAATATATTTTACATAGACCCATTTAATCAGCCCTAAACAGGACAAAAGCAAAGGACAAAGATAAATCATGTGGACGTGAGCAGCCATTAACCCAAGGCCATAGTAGTGTCCAGAGATCCACGGCCAGAGCGGCTGCTTAAAAGGGAGATGGATGACAAAGGGAACTGAATGGCCGCCGATCGATTTATTGCAGTTGCAGGAGGGACTGCAGAAGCAGGAAAGTGACCATGATTGGGCCACATGCATGATTGCAGATCAGAAAAGTTTACGAGATTGATTCAGGGCCCTCCCTCGTAGGGGGATGACTCTTGATTAGAACTTCACTTTCTTCATCAGAAAGAAACTGGTGGGAGCCTCCAGGCTGACTTTTATTTATTTACCTTTTAGGTCTAGAAATGAGCTTACTCTCATGGCTCAATTTTTTTTTTTAATTAAAAGATCATTTTATTGGGGCGTCTTTAACTCTTATAAGAATCCATACATCAATTGTATCAAACATATTTGTACATATTTTACTATCATTCTTTTCTAGACATTTAATTTCTATTACTGAGTTTTGATACCAGCTCCTCTTTTCCCCCCTCCCTCCTGCCACCCTCATGACCCCTTGATAAATTATAAATTATCATTATTTTCATATCTTACACCAACCACTATCTCCTTTCCCCCATGATTTCTGTTGTTCTTCCCCCTGGAGGGGATGTGTGTGGTTATTGCAAACATTGTGATTGGTTCCCCCTTCCTCCCCTCTCCCCGCCTTCCCCCCACTCTGCTAGTGTCACTACACCCATTCCTGTTCCCAGATTCCGTGTGTCATGACCTCTTCTCTTTTATCTGTACCTATGCGCATACTCCGCTCTAGCCTGAAGTAAAAGGTAGCACTTGGATCATGATGGGGGGGGGAAGGGGGAGCTACTCAAGGAACCAAAGGAATATTGTTTGTTTCAGCACTGCTTTACTGCACCCTGGTTGACTCATCCCTTCCCTGTGACCCCTCTGTGAGGGGATGTCCCATTGTCTACAGATGGGTTTTGGGTCTCTGATCCAACCCCCCTCATTCTCAACAATATGTTTTTGTTTATTTGTTAGTTTGTTTTGGGTCTTCTGATGTCTGTTACCTGGTCCCGATGACACCTCATGATCACACAGCCTGGTTTGTCTCTTCCATGTGGGCTTGTTGCTTCTCTGCTAGATGGCCACTTGTTTAATTTCAAGCCGTTAAGACCCCAGATGCTTTGTCTTTTGATAGCCAAGCACCATCTGGTTTCTTCACCACATTTGCTTTTGCATCCATTTTGTCTTCTGCAATTATCCTGGGAGGGTGAGCATCACAGAAAGCCAGTTAGAACGGAGGGTTCTTGCACTGACAGAGCTTATGAGAGGAACCCAAAGTCCATCCCTTGTGTCAGTGTATTGACATATAAATATATGGCCATAGGCCAGTACCTCTATTTTTAAGAATTAATGTATTCACATGTGTATACACCTATGCTTATCCCTCTACCCATAGCTTTGCTTCCTAAATCGTTCCTCTGTTTCCTTTTACCTTTCTCCTGCCCCACCATCACACTCTCCCTTCTTCCCCTTTGTAATTCTTCTCAGCTAGATTGCTGTTGCTCCAACACTCTCAGGATCTCTATTTCCTCTTCGATGACTTTAATTCCCTAGTTGTTCCCCTGTCTATGGTGTTGTTTGCTCACTACTCCCTTCCCCCACCTCCTTCTCCCCCATGTCAAACAAAAGACAGGTCTATCGGGGGAGCAATCACATTAGGGAGGTTCTTAAATCTTAGGATTATCAACCATTTGAGATCCAAGGGGAAGAATTTACCAAATGATGAAGGTCAGAAGTGTTCGGAAAGGTGGAGGCAGTGGAGGAAGTAAGATGAGTGATGTTACGTAGAGAGTGGCTAACAATGACACCATGACACTGTGCATGGATTCTATAGTGGAAAACTGATCTGCACTGTAAATCTTCACCCAGTTCACAAGAAAGAGTTGTTTGTTTTTTATTCTTTATAATACTGAAACATATAATGGAATAAAGAAGTGGTGAACCAAAAGAAAGCTAAAAACTATTACAAAGAATTGCTGTTAGAAACTCACTGCCAACGAGCCATTCTGACTCTTAAGGACGCTAGGGGACAGAGTAGAACTGTCTCTGTGGGTTGTTGAGATTTAGATCTTTATGGAAGAAGAAACCCTCATCTTTCTCTCTCCACAAGGCTGGTGGGTTTGAATTGCTGGCCTTGCAGTTAGTACCCCAGTGTGTAACACACTAGACCACCAGAGTGGCCCTGCTATAAAGAAAGGGCAACCTTAAAATTAAACATGGGTTCTAGACTCCTGTCAGACATTAAGATATAACGAAGGCTCCACTTGCAGACTCTAGTTTTTGCACACACCAAATGTCTCTGGTTTTCGACGCCTATACACAGTCATCTTTGTTGATTCATGTACATCACTCGGTAGCTATTGTCCATTGTTTAGCAGAACCCCCACTTTGTGAACTCAATGGGAAAATAATTCTTGACTGAAGTAACTTGTCCCTTTTCTTCTCAGAGGCGAGCTGCTGACAATTTGCGGAGACATCATCAATATCAAGTAAGTTATGCTTGCACTATATTTTCACATGTATTTTTAATTGGCTTGGTTTCCTAGGGTTCTGATAACGGAAATACCACAATCCGGTGGCTTTAAAGGATAGAGATGATTTATTTTTCACACTTCAGGAGGCTGCTGGAGACCCTTATCACCTTCAGCATATTAGTGTGATGATGATCCTTGGTTCTTTGATTATTAATATGTGACTTCTATCTCTCCCTGCTATCTCAGCTTGGACTTGCTTCTCTCTGTGTCTAAAGACATTGCCGTTGGGACCCTGTAGGGCCAAGTAGCACCCCTCCATAGGATTACTGAGGCTAAAATCTGTTATTGTTTTGTTTTTATTGTGGTTTGGGTGAACGTTGACAGAACAAATTAGTCTGCCGTTCAATAACTTGTATGCATCAGTCTTGCGACCTTCATTGCTATGCCCTCAATGTTCTAGCACACTTCCTCGCTGCTTTTCATTGGTCCATTTGCTCCCTGTTCCTGCCCCTTCCTGCCTTCTGGGCTGCGTTTGGGAGCAAATGCTGCCATTTGGCCCTCTGATGGTTGTTTATGAGAAAAAGGACATTTCTCACAAGGGATATTGCTCACCTTCTAGGGCTGTGAGATAACCCCAGGGTTGTGGTCAGTTTCAGGTTTGAAAAATACCTAAGAATCACAGTCTCGGTGTTCCACTTATCAGGCCAACAAATCTGGGCTTGTAGGTGATTTAGATTTTTCTTGCGTTTTTCTCTCTCATTCTGTCCAGAATCTTCTGTGGTCCCAATCAGCGTGGTCAGTAATGGTAGCAAGGCCCCATCTAGTTCTGCTCGCACGGTGGTTGGTGGAGGCTGCGATTCCCAGAATCCTTGAGTCCTTTGGACTCATTGTTACCTGGAGTCTTTTACTTTCTTCACCCTTCCTGCGTTCCTCCCGACGAGGAGAAACTATGAGTTGGAACTTAGATGGAATCATTCGAGCTTTTAAGATTCTAGTGACTACTCATCACAGTTTTCTATAGAACCTTGTGTTTGTGAACTATGTTGTGCCAATTGACCTAGCTGTCTCCCCAGCCAAAGCTGTGATCCTGTTGGAAGCATACGTTTATATCTGTCTCCCACTAAGTGACTGGTACAGTCAAACCACAAACCACTAGACCTTCCTCTTAGCAGCTTCACCACCGCACCTCCAGGCCTCCCGTGTCTCTACACCTGTGCTACTCGATCTTTCAGAAGTGATTTGGGTCAGGGTGCACACAACAGTGATATGGTCTTAGTAACACAACAAAGAAAAGAGTATCCCCAAACAGAATTCCATTCACAGGCGTCAGGTTACACATTCCAACACACTGTCCTGGGCCACACGATCTATTCCCCAGTGGCATGAAAATACAACCCCTTTTCCAAGATTGATTCAAAAGAGAAATTGCCTTCACACCCTCGGTGTCAAGTAATACTGCTGTTTTTAAATACCGTAGGAAGTTATGAGGAACCTGGTGAAAAGATATGTCGCTGCCATGATTCGAGATGCTAAAACAGAAGAAGGCCTTACAGAAGAGAATTTTAAGGTAACTGTTTGCCTCTGCATCCTGACCAGGGGAGAATTCTGCAGAGCTCAGAATCAGATTCAGCATTATCCTGGTTTTTAAATGAAACTCTGATTGAATTGCAGTTTCTCCTCAAAAGAAATCATTGTCTAACTTACATAATCTAACTTTCAAGGGAAGTTGCTTGGATACAAAGAAATTCCCTGTGGTGTTCTGCCTTTCTGATCCCAGCCATGCCTTCCCCATTTCATTTTATAATTTAAAGCCTCATGTTGCGTTCTCAATTTGAAATCTTTCTTAAGCCACGTGCGAACAAAACAAAAAAATGCCCTCGTGTGTACCCAGTACTGCTTTGGTAGCAGGGGATAAAATAGTAGGTTTAACCGTAATTTAGGTGAGATTTGTTTTTGGTTTTCTGTATAATTCTTTCTGAGGGGACATGTGCAATGTAGAAAATGCTATGTTAAAATCATATCAATCGGTATAACTTTGTTATTGGTCAGGAATATTATCTCTTGATAAGAGATTTGGGGAATGTGATGAAAGTTAAAAAAATCTTATTGTCAGACCACCAAGTGAACTAAATAAATAACTCTACAGGATTCTTTAAGCAGAGAAAGTAAAGGCAGCAGGTTTGATAACAATAATGCAGATAAAGGGCTGGTCAGGAAGGTAGATGGATAATTAGCAAAAGCTAAAAGCACAAGTTAAAAGCCATGATCCAAACTATGCTGGTCAGCCCCCAAACCTACATTCTGGTGTTAAATAATTGACCTTTCTCCCCACCTTTGGTATTTAAAGCCTGGTCCCTTTGGCCCTTCATGATCACACATGTTGGAGTGCTGCTTCCATGTGGGCTTTGTTGCTTCTGGGCTAGATGGCCGCTTGTTTACTTTCAAGCCTTTAAGTCCCCAGACGCTATAGGTCTCGATAGCCGGGCACCATCAGCCTTATTCACCACACTTACTTATGCACACATTCGTCTTCAGCGTTTATGTGTGGAAGGTGGTCACACAATGATGGTTTTTGTTCTTTGGTGTCTGCTGCCTGTTTCCTTCAACACTTCGTGTTCGCACAGGCTCGTGTGCTTCTTCTCTGTGGACTTTGTTGTTTCCGAGCTAGATGGCCACTTGTTTGCCTACAAGCCTTTAAGACCCCAGACGCTATATTTAAATACCAAAGGCGGGGAGAAAAGTCATATCCTTGTCAATGAGGGTGGCACATGATGGAGACCCAATGCCCATCTCTAGACAATTGGACATACCTTCCAGAGGGGTAGTGGGGAGATGAGTCACTTAGGGTACAGTATAGCAATAATGAAACCCACAACCTTCCTCTGGTTCTTAAATGCTTCCTCCCCCCAACTACCAGGACCCCAATATTGCCTTGCAGACCTGGTTAGACCAGATGAAGCACAGCGGGACAGATGGGAATCAGAAATGCAGGGAATCTAGGACAGAAGAACCTCTCAGGACCAGGGGTGACAGTGGCGATACCAGGAGGGAAAGGGGATGAAGAAAGGGGGAATGGATCACAGGGAGCTATGTATAACCTACTCTCTGGGGGACGGGCAGCAGGGGGGTGGGTGAAGGGAGACGCCGGACAGTGTAATATGATACAATAATAATTTATGAATTATTAAGGGTGCATGGGGGAGAAGGGAGAAGGAAGGGAAGGGGAGGGGGAAAAAAAGGAAAATGAGCTGATTCCGGGAACCCAAGAGGCAAGCGAATTTTGGGAATAATGAGGGCAACAAATGTATAGATGTGTTTTATACAATTGATCTATGTATTGTGATGAATTGTATGAGCCCCAATAAATTGATTTAAAAAAAATAATAATAATTGACCTTGTTCGGAAACAGGCCTCAGGAGGCCACCATGATGTGCATCATCTGGTAACCAGTCCCAGTCCCAATTGTCCTTGAGTTGTCCTTGACTCACTGTGAGCCTGTATTGCAGAGTAGAACTGTGCTCCATAGGGTTTCGATGTCTGATGTTCTATACATCGATCACCAGGTCTTTCTTCTAAGTGACTTCTAGGTTAAGGTGACCAGATTTAAAGCGGGACACCATTGACGAGCGGGGGGTGGGAGGTGCGTTACTGATTAAAAAATTGGTCTATATGGACCAAATAGACCGTTCCCGAGCTTGTCGTGCATTCTTTCCAAAAATCGGGACTTTTTTAAAACGCCAAAAATCGGAACTGTCCCACCAAAAGTGGGACGTCTGGTCACCTTATTCTAGATATGTTTGGACTATCAACCATTCGGTAATAGCAGCTAAGTGGGGTAAACATTTGTCCCTCCCATGGATCCACTGCAGACTGTTCATGCTTAAACATGAAGAGGCATATGTCAGAGTCATACATGAAGTGAGAATACTGCTTCCCAATGTGTGTTTCTCTAAGCCACACACTAACACTGTCTTTTTGAAATGTCTTTAGGAACTCAAACAAGACATTTCTAGTTTCCGTTTTGAAGTCCTGGGGTTACTAAGAGGAAGCAAACTTGCCACAATACAAGCCGCCAGCGCCGCCCAGGAGTCTTCCCGCTCGGCAGACTCAGACGAAAAGAGTGACAGCGAAGGTACTAGTAAGGACAAGAAAAAGAATTTCAGCCTTTTTGACTTAACTACTCTGATTCATCCAAGGTCAGCGGCAATTGCCTCCGAACGACATAACATAAGCAATGGCTCTGCCCTGGTGGTGCAGGAGCCCCCGAGGGAGAAGCAGAGAAAAGTCAATTTTGTGACCGATATAAAAAACTTTGGGTTATTTCATAGACGATCAAAACAAACCGCTGCTGAGCAAAATGCAAGCCATATTTTCTCTGTTTCAGAAGAAGTTGCTCGCCAACAGGCTGAAGGAGGAGCCCCTGAGAGACATACTCACCTGGAACCCCGAGCATTAGCTGCGAGGGGTGACCTGAACATTCCCGGTCTCAGTGAACAGTGTGTTTTAGTAGACCACAGAGAAAGGAGTACGGACACAGTGGCTCAGCAGGTAGGCAAGAGAGTGTGTTCCTTCAGGTCAGAGAAGGTGGTGGTCGAGGACACTGTCCCTATCATCCCAAAGGAGAAATTCTCCAAGGAGGAGGACCCCAGGGCAGAGTATGACGAGCCCCTCACAGAAGCCCAGGAGGACTATGTGACCACGCGGTTGTGATGCTTACAGGCGGCAGCGTTTCCCGTGCATATACATAGTTTCCATACTGCTCTGGGAAGTGGGGTGGGGTGGGATGGGGAGGATATGTTTAAAATTAAATTAGCAAATGCTGATGTACACTTTCTAGCATATTGTGGCATAATAACTTGTAACCTAGTTGAATAAGAACAAGGCTATCAGAAACCCTTCTGTTTTGTAGCCTGCCTTTGCTTCCACCATTTGTTTTATGATGTTTTTGGTTTGGGGTTCATAAATAAAGACACCTTGTATTCTTATACTGTTGCAATCACCCTCGGAAGATTTTTAGCTGTCTTTTTCAGGGAAAAGAGATGCAATTTAGTTCTTGTGGTAGCGGATGCCTATCATCGATATTTTTATATGCAGAACACTGTACAGCAAAACGATTAGAGCTTTTCGTAACTTTTTAGGGTCTCTAGAGATAGTTAGGACTTTTCACCCAGGCCAAGAGGTTGGTTTTAAAACACCAATATATCCCAATTATTTCTTAGGAATGCATAAGTCGTTAGAGTACAGAATTCAAGCAAGAACATCTCTTCTCGGGGAATGCTGCCCAAACACTCCCTGAACCTGACAGCAAGGGGATATGTGGGAGTGTTTCCAATTGTCCCGCTGTTCCTTCCACTTACTGCAAGACACACTTCTATTAATACATTTTGATGACGGATGGTTCTTTCATGACATTTGCCCCAAAGGGGAAAAAAATCTTATGTCTCCAGTTTAAAAACAACAATAAGAGATGACCGATTCAAGTTCAACTGCATATGTGTGCAAATATGAGCTCTTATAGAATGACTGCATTTCAAAATATGACAGAAGGGTTTCCATGCTAGCAAGAAATAACAGCCAGTCAAGATCATTGAAGCTCCTGCAACAAAACGGCTAACTACTCATGATGCCTAAATTAAAATGCACTTAATCAAGCAATCTAAATCTAAGCAAAGGCTGCATCATATGTTATCAATCAACCCAAGATGGTTGCGAATTCAAAAGAGGTACAAAATTCGACGAATTGCCCCCATTGCCATCCTCTGGTGGCTGGTATATCATATACGCCTTTAAAAAGTAAAGCTACTCCTGAATCATTATTAATTTTATCAGCACATACAGATATATGGTTTTTCCTATAGAATAATTTGAAAATGTGTTTCTTTTATGATTTACAAAGTAATTCAACCATCACTCACTGCCACCCAGTCAGTTCTGACTCATGACGACTCTCTAGGGCCGAGAACTGCCCTTGTGGGTTTCTGAGGCTCTGATTTTTCATAAGAGCAGAAAGCCTCGGATTTCTCAGCAGCTCAGCACATTATCCACTACCCCACCGGGGCTATACTATATTCCTGTATTGACCACTACAAAGAAGTGTTCTTGGTGGATATAAAAACATCACTGGCAAATTCTTAAAGCATAATTCTATTATTCTATTATTTCTATCAATCTAACCCAGCATGAACTGGCCCCTCATTGTATCCAGGTAGCATTTATTCCCAATCAATAGAAAAATCCTGAGCTCATTTTACCTCCAAAAAATGGATGCCCTGGATTAGAGAGAGTATATATCATTTGACATTGACCAAAAAGAACCTAATGCTCTGGAGTTCCATTTCTGATTACTGGACATCGAAGAGCAGCAGTGCTAGTCACGGTTCTGTCTGCTGTACTCATGTAGGGGCTGCCGATGGGAACTCTCATCAGTAGCAGCTTCTCTTAACTTCCAGGGCGCAGAGCCATGTGAAGCCTAACTTCGGTAGGGTTCGATAGCTGGTGATGGCACTGGGCTAGTCTTTCTGTGGAAGGCACCTCATTACTATCCTGCCTTGCTTCTCAGACCATAAACAGATAAACAAACATAAATGTAGAGTGGTTATGAACTGGTCCTTTGAATGCACCCGTTGCTTCACACGTTTAACTCAAGTACTTTAGTGCTCAGAGTAAGGCTGGGAGCCAGTGAAAGATTTGAAGGGCTCTAAGCCAAGAGGCAGACAAAAGGGGGGTGGGGGGAGGGGGTGCTTCTCCTGGATTCCGTTTTGCCTCCTATTTCAAAGTGAAGACCATATTCCTCACCCCTGGACCATTTTGCCAGGATTTAAACAAAAATTCCCCTAGGTTACTCCTAATATCACCACCAACAAAGAATATAATCTGCGAAAATCGTTTTTTCACAGTCTTGTGTTTGTATCAGTGGTTAGAATGCTGTTATAGGTGAACATGGTGCCAATGAAGGAATTGGTTCAGGCAACACCTTCCCTTTCACTTTCTGCGGAGTTGGGGGAGGTGGGAGATCATGGTTTCTAACCAGGTGCTGATCGCTTCAAGTGCTCCCTTACAAATGAATTTCTGGATATGAAATAAGTGACATTGTCAGTACACAGTCAAAAACCCACTGCCTTCAACTGGACTCAGGACCAGAGTGAACCTCTCAGACTGAGCAGAACTGCCCCCATAGGGTTTTCAAGACTATAATCTTCATACTGCAGCCAACTGCCACATCGCTCACCTGCAGAGCAACTGGTGGGTTTGAACTGCAGACTTTTCAGTTAGGAGTCAAGCCCCTTAACCACTATGCCACCAGGATTCCCGTTGTTAGTAACAGATATCCTAACATTTAGCATTATCCTACATGTTGTGATATTGTATAGTATTACAAAAGAGCATCCGTAATGGTAGAATAAGAAAACTCAAGGTAACAGAAAATTGCAGTAAAGAAATGGCCCTTCTTTGAGGTCTTTAAATGAGCACCTTTGGATTTCCCATAAGGTTGCTGACCACAAGGTCAGCAGCTCAAAACCACCAGCCCCTCCAAGGGAAACTTCCTAGATCTGCTCATGTCCACAGGAATTCCTTAACACCAGACTGACTTCCCAGCTGTGCGCACTCTGACCCCTATTTTAATCTCCTCCCTTTCCGGACCTGGCCCCAGGAGAGGGTGGAATGTGTCATGAAATTCAGTTTACTTTTCATCGAAGGTCAAATTCACAACACTTCGCTTGTTCCAGATCCTTTGGGGGCAACCCATTTATAAGGAACTATGCTATAAAGGGTGTATGTTACCAATTGCCATAGATATATTTCTGAAAATTGTTTGTAAATATGTTTGTATTCACTTTAGTAGAGAAACGGGTTATGCTTAAAAAAAAAAAGCAAAGAAAAAACATGATGGTGAATTCTTTTGTAACATGAAAACTTATTTTTCAAAGTGATAATCATCTCCAAAATGTATCTGCTTCATAAGCCGTATATTTGTATATCAAATGTTCTTAAATCAGATATTTTATTTACTGGCTGGCAATCAAAATATGGCAAAAAAACAAATAAACACAAAAACTTTACTTTCTTACCTTGATCTGAATAGCATCTTGACATACTTGAGTAACCAAACACACAAGCACACATACCAGAAAAAAATTACTGGGTCACTTTTGAGGTGTAATTAATGAAATATATGGAGCACCAAGGGCAACAAGGCTCTCCTGTTTTCTCAAAAAAGCAAGGATAATTTTCCAATCAAGGTGGAGGGAATTTAGGTTACAATGGCATAAAAATACACTCTTTTAAAAAATAAATCATTTTATTGGGAGCTTGTACAACTCTTATCACAATCCACACATCTATTGTGTCAAGCACTTTTGTACATTTGTTTCCCTCATCATTCTTAAAACATTTGCTTTCTACTTAAGCCCTTGGTATCAGCTCCTCATTTTTCCCCTCCCACCCCGCATCCCCCTCCCCCATGAACCCTTGATAATTTATAATTTATTATTATTCTGTCTTATCTTACACTGTCCAACATCTCCCTTCACTCACTTTTCTGTTGACCATCCCCCTAGGGAGGAAGTTATTTGTAGATCCTTATAATCTGCTCCCCCTTTCTACCCCACCTTCCATCCACCCTCTGGGTATCGCCACTCTCACCACTGATCCTGAGAGTTCATCTGTCCTGGATTCCCTGTGCTTCCAGTTCCTATCTGTACCAGTGTACATCCTCCGGTCCAGCTGGATTTGTAAGGTAGAATTGGCATCATGATAGTGGGGTTTGTTTTTTAACATTTAGTGACCAGTTACTGTCAGGGAGTCAACCCCTGAGGACACTGTGGATATCAGAGTAGAATGATGATCCACAGGGTTGTTTCAATGGTTGAGTGTTTGCCAGTAGATCACCAACTTCTAACCGAATAGCTATCAGGTGAGCTATTGAATTGCTTAACTGTATAAGCAGTGTATTAGCATTCAATAATCAGTCAGGGATTTAGTTGAGTGACTTGATTGGTTAGCCCCTTCAATTTTCCTTGAAGAGTAGATCGCAGTACTGAAAGTTGACCATTCGTAGTCATTGGATACCATGTTAGCAGGAGCGTGTTCTGTTTGAAAAGCTGCCTTCTTTGCTCAAAAATTCAGCCTAGCAAAAACCATCGACTTTGTTTCCTTCATCATGTCTATAAGGGTAGTCATGTCTCCAAAGTTCAGACTCACTGGTAAACATAAAATTTTTAAATGTTATATCTCTTGGTAGCACCCTTAAACTTAACTTTTTATTTGAATTATTTTATAATAATGATAATGCACTTTTTTATATAGTACTGTCACATGCCTTATTTTGCAAAAACTTATCTTATTCATAGATTGCTGTAGAAATTAAGATTCAAGTGATTTAAAATTCATCAAATTTATCCAGTTACCCAGTGGTTAAGTTGGTCATCTAAGGATTTGAATAAGACATCTGTCGTAACAGTTTGATTGATGATTTTTTTAATCGGAAAGAAATTTTATCATTTTCTCTTCCTCCTGTAATTGACATAGAACTGCTTAGATTGCTACAGAGAAAATTCAGAGTTCGTATCATAGTCTTTTTCTTACAGAATCATGTTAACATTTTGAAGCTGATTTCTTACTCTTTTCTATGAGTACACATTATTCATTTTCACTTCAACTGGAGATTGGGTGGTAATGCTATGTACACACATCAGTACATAATAAAATATGTTAAAGAGCATCACGGTTTTTTCCTTAAAAATGAAAAATAATA